CCTCTCACGCGAGCCTCCTGCTGCATGAATGATGCGGGCGAATTCTGTCCCCCTAGTTTGCCGCGTACTTAGCAGAGCCCCGGAAGCACCGTCGTCCTCATGATTAACCAGTGGAGGTGACATGCTGCCGAGCTTCGGAATGTAAAGCGTCAGACAGGAGGCGGCGCCTGGCTTGTGGATCCCTCCTGTCACCAGACAGCGGGGCAGGTGTGAGGCGCCCACAGCCATCCCAGCCCTGCTCAGGGCTTGCGTCCCCCCTCCCACCACAGCCCTGGGCGGCCAGGTGCTCAGGGTGACAGCCGCCACAGACAGGCTGACGAAATTGCACATGCTGCCTGCATCCATTGATCTTTGAGATTAACTCCCCGCTTTCTAAGGAAGTTCAGACCATGAAATGACAGATGATGGCATGTATTTTAAAAATAAAATAGAAATAAGTGCGTGCTCGTCTTGAGCACACTCGGCACCGTCCGTCTGCTGGCTGACTGACTGGAGCCACTGGAGCTGGTGCCATTTGCCCCCCTGCCTGGAGCCCTGACAAGGGCGGGCGGTGGTGAGACAGGAAGGGGGCAGTGTCCCCATGTCGTGTAATCAGGGCCATTGCACTGGGAGGCAGGCGGGTTCCTGACAGTGTGCTCAGCCGGGAACTGCGTCGCCATCCTCAAGGCTGTTTTAAATAACCTGGTTGTGGAGGAAGATGTTACATTTCTGTATTGTGGGGGTAAAGGAGTGTGGGGTCAGGATCTACAAGAGCCCGTGGACTCCCCACCTCATTATGTTACCCACTGGTTGGAAACAGTGCGTGGAGTCTGGTTCCAGACCTTGCCTGGAAGCTGGGCGATGCTCGGCGTTGGGCAGCAGGCTTGGAGGGACCAAAGGATGAGCCTGTCACGCCCTCAGCGGGTCTGCAGCTTGTGGAAGGAGCCTCGATGGAAACACACGAAGTAACTGAGCTTTTAAAATAAATGGTGAGCTGTGTCCTTTGTGACAGGAGTGACCGCCGCCTGGTCCCAGCACCTCCGCCAGGCCTCGTGGCTTTGTGGACAGCATTCCCTCCCTCAGCCCCGACTGTAACTCCCTTCCGGGCTCCCTGTGTGGCCCAATCCTGACCTTGTTCACCTCAGCTCTATGCCGTGGGGCGCACAGCACCCCACATCGAACACCTCGGCTGTGCTGTCTTTGGCCGATGGCTGGACACCGCCCTCCCAGTGTCCTGGGCAGGCTGTGTAGACGGCCCAGAGGACGCTTCGGGACCTGGGACAGGCTGGGCACAGGACATGTCCCCTCTCGGGAAAGAGGCGTCTGAGATGCATGGAAAGAGGCAGCAGCCCCTCTTTCAAGGACAGCCGGCCGTGTTTTGATTGTGCAGCTACACGGAAAGCTACCTCGAGAATGTGGATAAGGAGCGTGTGCAGCCGTCCTTGGATGTGGGGTGGGGGGAAGGGAGAAGGGGGGAGGGGATGGTGCGTGTCCTGCAGATCTAAGTGGGAGCCCAGACCAGTTTCTCATGAAGACGCATTCTGGTGCAGTCGGAATCCAGCTGCTGGTGATAACGTTCCTTGGACGGGAAAGTGGGCCCATTTCAAGGGCTTTTACACAAATCGACTTATTTGATTTTCACAGCAATTCTGTCAGCTAGCTGTGGTTCACTTAAAAATTTACATTTAGAGGACCGGCTGAGTGGTGTGTTGGTTAGGAGTTGGCTTGGGATGCCAGCTCTGAGCAGCAGGGCCCCGGTTTGGATCCTACATGAGGGCCACTGACACTGCCCTCTACAGCTAAGATGCTGAACAACAGCTCGACCTGGAGCTGGGCTGCCTTGAGTCACCGGTGACGGCGTAGGCTGCAGTGGAGCTGCAGTGGGGCTGCTGTGAGCTACCATGAGCGGCCGTCCAATGGCCGGCGACTGATCTGCCTCACTCGGGAAGAGTGCAATGATAATACCAACATGGGCCAGTGAAGTGACGTCCTCCACAACTAGACTGAAGAACAAAAGGACAGCAACTTTTCTGTTCCCCTTCCCCCAATTCCCCAATAAAATCTTAAAAAAAAAATTTACATTTTGATGATTTAAGAAATGTTGGGTTTTTTTGACATTTTGATATTTCCCTGCGTATTCATTCATTCATGCCATTAACACATGTGTTGAACCTCCTGTGGGCCGTGTGCGGGCGGCATGGTGTGGGGGCTGAACGCACACGGTGCAACCCTTGCCCAGGGGAGGGGTCAGCTGAAAGGTAAAGACCTCGCCAGGCTGCCGTTTCTCCAATCACCCTGCGTCTAATCTGATGTCACGGAGGCACAGCAGGGCCAAGCAGGTTCCCGGTGATGGGCTCAGGATTTGGAAGTGCTGTGATCCAGGGGGGCTTCTTGGGGGAGTGGGGAGCTGAGGAGGGATGAAGAGGAGGAGAAGCCCCTGGGATGTGTGAGGTTGTGGCCCTGCCTGGATCTGGGTGGGGTCTGGCTCTGGGGGAGGTCAGATACTTATCGGCTTCCGTTCCCCTTGTGCTGGGCCTTTCAGTGGGAATACCTGCCATCTAGGGGCACCGGAGTTCCGTTCCACGTCCCAGAACAGGCTCTTGGCTGAAGCTCTTCCTCCGACAGAGGCTCCAAGCCTGGCCTCTAGTGGACACGTCTTCCTGATCCCCACCTGCCTGTGATGCTGGGCTATGGGACTCGCTGTCACCTCTGCACCCTGATGAAGGCAGTGCTATGTGCCAGAGCTGCTGTCAGCACAGGGCGGCTCCCTTGGGACTGTCCCAGCTCCAAGGGCTGTCCCAGTAGATGCCATTTAGATGCAGATGTGCCTGGAGCACGGGCTGGCTTATGAAAAGAAAGCTCTGACCTGCAGCTCTGGGCATGAGGAAGACACAAAGGTTCCAGGTGGACCCCTTCCCCAGTAGGCATCCTGCCTCCCGGTGGGGCTGTGGCACCAGCTCTGAAAGATGTCTTGGCGATTTCATAAGTGGGGTGCAGGAACAAGGCCCAAGGGCACATTTCCAAACCACATGCACACACCTGTGTAAAAACATATTCTTGTCATGATGTAAAGAACCCCTGGAGTGCTGTGTTTGGGAGGCTTTGGAGGACTGTCCACTCCTGACCGGGGGGCCCCAGGCCTGAGGGTCACTCACCTGCCCGGTAAGGACAGAGGGAGGGCAGTCCTGGATCGCAGACCCCGTCAGACATGCTTTTCACCGTCCTCTCCGTTCTCGCCTTGTGTGGGTTCAAGACCTGGTTTGGGATGGCGAGGTGGGGTGTGGACAGCAGCCTTGCAGAGTCACTGAAAGCAGCAGCTTCTTGGTCGCTGCCCTTCGCTGGCTGAGACACGGGGGCTCGTTACCAGCCCCCGAGCCACTTTCCTTCACTTGGGCGGCTGCAGCCTTAGAGAGGAAGGAGCAGTGGCCGCCTCTCAGGGAGCCCGGGACCCCCAGCCCCCACCACGGACGCACCTGCCCCTGCCCCTCCCAAGGCCCCAGCCACGGGTCCTCCCAGAAGCCCAGCTTCTCTCCCGCTCGCCAGCCCTGCATCTCTGGGCCTGTTCCCTCCGTCCTGGACGTTCTGGGCCACACGGCCACCCTAGACCCCCTCCCGTGGGGGTCACTGCTTGCTCTGCTGTCCTCCCCGGCATGGGTGCCGAGCGGGGACTCTGTACGGGAGTGTCCGCAGGGGAGCTCCTGATGTGTCCTGCCCGTGGCTTCTTCGTGTCTCACTTGTCCTATCCGCATGTCTTATTCATGTGATCCAAACTGGGGGCTCTCCCACACCCACCCAGCCGCTGTGAGCCATTTGGGTCCCCCTTGCGCCCCTGTGTCTCCACCCATTCTTAGAGTCACAGCGACCCTGGGAGGCTGTCAGAGCTTCACCCTGTGTTGCCGCCCAACTCCAGCCGAGCCCCCGAAACTTCCTGCCCCTCTGTGCACATCTGTCGCTGTGTCCTGAGGTCCTCTCTCTGCAAGGACATCGGTGACATGGGTTCAGAGCCCTAATGAGCTGGCCCTGCGCTGCTCACCTGCGGCCACCGTGTCCACACGGGGCCACATTCCCAGGGTCTGGGTTTGGGACTTAAGCGAGTGCTTTTTGATGACAGAGTTGAGCCCAGGACAACAGTGTCTTCACTTGATGACTCAGCTGCCTGTGTCCCGACTGGAGCGTGAGCCCCGTGAAGGCCGGGCCCGGTCTGTTCACTGCTGCGTCTCCTCTGACAGCAGCGCCGGGCTCCTCGTGGGCATGAGGGGTGACGGGGTGGCCAGCTGGGGTGGCAGCCTGTGCTGGGCCACAGCTGCTTCGTAAGGACATTGCCGAGTGGTTCCCTGATGCGGTGCTGATGGGATTTCACAGGCAGCACGCGATTGCAGAGCTGAGTGCGGGGACTCCGGATTTGCAGCCGGAACCTCGACTCACACGCCGTGACTGTTGATGCCTCTCGGCGCGGAGCTGGCCTTGCAGGGGGTCATCCTGGAGATTGCGCCCCTTAACGAGTCCTTGCTGGCTGGCCGGCTGTCCTCTCCTTGCTGACCCTCAGAGTGTGATATTGCAATAGCCCCTTGTTGGCGTACAACTCATTTTAGAAAGAACCCATTTAAAAATGGGCCTCCTTTGTACGTTCTCCTTTGTACTGAGGTTTGGACTCCCGTCCTGAGGTTTGTTTTCAGCATCTGCTCCCCTCTCTTCTTTCTCGCCCCCACCCCCCACTTCATTATGGTTTTTATTGAGGCCGAGAGGAGCCATTGCAGCATCATGGGCTCATCACACGTCCTAACAATTCCATTTGCACTGAATTGTTTGTCTTATTGCTGGAAAATTCAGGTGATTCATCATGGCTGCAGAAGCACCTGATCCCCGTGCCCCGAGGGCCGGTCACTGTGTGACAGGAATACAGCGGGCAGGCGGCTCTCAGACCCCCGGGCGGGCAGGAGCTGGGGGGCTGCAGCTTCTCCAGCCGTGGTGACTTCCATTTGGTCACGATGCCCCCCTCCCCGTCTGCTCTCCTCCAACAGCCCCCTGAGCCCGGAGAAGGGGAAGGCGCTGACGGCGGACGTCGCACGTCTCCTGCAGGTGCCGCTGAGCGTCTTCGCAGACATCGAGTGAGTGTGGGCTCGGGGTCTCCGGGTTCCTTGTCGGCTCTCATCAGGCTCCGCTTCATAAATTGGTTTGCAAGGGAGAGGACTGTGCCTGTGGTCGGTGTTAATTATATCAGAGAGAAACTGTTTCCGAGAGAATGAAAGGAAAGCTCCAGAGGGATTTGGTAAGTTACTTACATGTAGCTGAGACCCGAGTGTAAGTAGAACAACCACAGTCTAGAGCCGTGGGGCCCACCGAGGCCCTGGCTGCCAGCCCTGCTGCTCCTGGCCTCGCCGGAGGTTCTAAAAGTTACCCCGGCCTGTGCTGCCCCCGCAGATGAGCCAGAGCCTTGGGGACCGTGTGAGTCAGCATCCCCTGCCTGCCTGCAGCGCTCGGGCCCTGCCTGTTCGGTGACGTCGGGGCTGAGGGGCCCTGGCCTGCCATGGGGGGGCTGCCATTGACGTTTCCTGGAAAGCGTACGGAGCGCTGAGGACAAGCACCGCATCAAGGAAACCAACGGAAAAGCGTCGGTGCAGGAGTGGGAGGGGCTGCAGAGCGCAGGTGTGGACGGGCAGGTGGCCTTACACGTGGCTCGGGACTGGACGCCAGGGCCGAGCTGAGCGCCCACCTCGGCCCTCACTCACCTGTGGTTCACGCTGCAGGTGTGTACTGAGCACCTGCTGTGACCTGGCCTCTGCTGGGAGCTGGGCGTCGGCACAAGTGCCATTGTCCTGCCCGGATCTTACCACCTGCTGCGTGTGCAGGTGGCTGACGTGGAGGGCGTGGGAGACATGTGTGGGGGGAAGCACCTCGCCCAGCTAGGGCCCCGGAAGCTTCTGGAAGAGGAGGTAAGGACGGTGGCAGATGTCCTGCAGAGAGCTGAGGCGCCTCTGGCAGGGCACCGCAGCGCCCAGCGTAGGTCACCCGTGAGCAACGGGCAGGGAAACCCCAGGGCCGGCCGAGGGCATAGTGACCCAGGGCGCTGCCCGCTCATCTCACGTGGGCGCACACCTGGAGCTCAGGGGGCCGTGCTGTGAGGAGCGCCCGGCAGGGGCGGGGAGGCGGGCGGGCGGCTAAGGATCTGGACGGGTCAGTCTGGACCGGGCGCGGGGGGAGGAGCCGGCCGTGACCCAGGCGACAGGGAAGCGGGCAGCGTCCGCGCGTATTGTCAACGCCACCCGCCGCCCCGACCCCTGCAGACAGGGACTCGGCCGCTGCCGTCTCCCTGGCTTTCTCGGTGCGGCCGGAAGCAGGCGCGAGGTTTCTCTTTCTTGTCCGAGGTTGAGACTGGACTCTGCCCCAAGACACCACCGAAGTCCTGCATGTCCCCTGGGCTTCCATGTCGCCCCTGTGGCCTTGGTCGCCTTCCTCCCCCGGGAGGGTGACTGAGAGATCACGAAATAACTTCTTTCTCCCCAGTGTCTCACCCAGACACGTCCCACTGACCTTTAAGAGTCTCAGCAAAGTGGCAGGACTGTCCCCTGCCAGAGCGCTGGACTGGAGGGGCTTCAGGTGGGAGGGGCGTCGGCCGGAGGGGCTTCAGGTCGCCGGTTCAGGCCGTTGAGGCGCAGAGCTGGCCCGCGCTCCCCCTCTCTGCGCCCGTTCCTCAGGTTGGCTCCCGCCTGAAGCCGTCCCGGGGGCGCACGTGGTCCCAGGAGAGGGAGCGGCCACCTAGCGAGCCGGCGCTTCAGAGGTGTCTGCGTTTTATGGACGGACTAGTGATGCTTAATATGTTTTGTTAATGGTTATGTAGCTGTCAAGCAAATTCCATTACTTCTTATTACATCATTAGAGACCATTAAAACGGCATTAGCATGCTGATGTAATTATGCCAGCAGACGCGGGACGCCGCAGTTATGACTTGATAATCCAATCACGGGCGTCCGCGCGCTGCTGATGGATGCTCGGCCGGTGGGCGGTGCCGGGGGACCTGCCCCGCGGCGAGGCGGGACCGGCGGAGGCGCTGCTCGGCCCCACGCAGGCCTGGATGAGCGGAGGGCGTCTGGGAGGACGGCCTAATTCTGTGATCAATCTTCATGTGTTCTCGTCATGCAAGAAGCAGCTTCGTTCCCATCTGTGTGATTCACTGAATTGATGAAAATGCCGAGTTCTTGTTTTCCAAGACGGCTGCTGAAGAAGCGGCAGCGGGGATTCACAGCCCTGACACTTTTCACTGGGTCTCCCGTGCACAGCGTGGGCGGGCCCGGGGGGCGGCCACGCTTAGCGCCGCCGGGTGACTGTCTCAGCATCGCCCAGGCCCCTCCGGCCCTGCTCCTGGCGCCCCACGCCCTCCTCTCCGTGCGAGAGAATCCGTGGGAGCTTGGAGGCTTCCAAAAGCACGTTTCAGTTTCTTGGGGCAGAACTGTGATTATTTGCCCCCTCGTCTTGTCTCCCTGATTTATGAAGATGTCTAAGAAGAAACAGAAGCCGGAGGAAGGCCCTTCACCCACTCGTTTGACCCCTGGCTCCCTTTGTAACCCACATGGTGACACAGCCCTGGGTAATGCGGTGTGCATGCCAGGGCAGTGCAGGTTCACAGTGGCAGTGATTAGGTTCGGGGTAAGTACTCACGGCTCACGGCCTACAGGAGGGCTTGTGTCTGCCGCTCAGGCTCAGGTGCACAGGGGGCTGCTGTCACCTTGCTCCACCCGGGTGCTGGATTACCCTGTGACGCCACTCAGGAGGGCGGAGACGCCGCCCCGTTGTTCAGGGGGCCTTTGTTTCTGGGCCAGAGCCCCGGATGTGCCCTGTCCACACACTGCAGGATGGCCGGGGTCCGGCGGACTGACACGAAGAAATGGCGCCTATGTCAAAACTGCCTCGGCCCGGTCGTTAGACGGGTGACAAGACCACAGGAAGGAACCACTGTGCATTCACAGATAATAATTCTGAGTGAGATGTCGTTTCTCGTTCTAAGTAAATCCCCATGACTGGTCCAAGCTGTTAGTATTTATTGAGACCGAGCTCCCTTTCCTACTGTGAAATGACATCACGGTTTAGGAGCAGAGTCACATTGCTTAGCTTTGCTAACGCCCTCCCCCCCACCCGCCCCCAACCCTGGTGAAATGCAGAGGCCAGGGTGTGGCTATGGCAGAGGGCCCTCTTCCCAGCCCCCCCACCCCCCAGTGCCCTGCTGTGGCTGCCTTGAAAGCCTGAATATTTAATTCTTTAGCAAGGGCTGTGTTTCTATTTCACTGTGGGCTTCCGAGTGATGTGGCTGGTCCTGGGGCTGGTAGGGCCACTCAGACGGTCCTGAGAGAACCCGCAGCAGAGGGCTTAGTGGGAGCCTGCTGTGTGGGCATCAGTCCGCACTGGCCTGTGCTGCTACCCTGCCGGCATTCCCACTGTCATTACCTAACTGCCCTGATGTCCGCTGCGGCCCGTAGGCTCAGGTTAGCAAGAATAGCCCACCGTTCCTTGTTCTGGACACCTGCATGCTGGCCTGAGCCGCAGTGAGGCCCGGGACCACACACCTGAGGGCCTCACGCTGCCGCCTGCTTCTGGAACCTTCTTCCACTAGACGAGACTGTCAGGTAGACGGCACCTGCTCCTTGGCCAACTCCCCACAGAACAGGTGGCCCCAGAAACCCGGAGAACCACGAGCCCCAGGGCCCCTGGCTGGAGACAGGGCTGCGTGGGGGACTTCACGCCTGCCCTGGTCACGGAGCCGCTGCAGCAGGTCTGGGAGGGCGAGTCCTGTGTGCCCCGTACTTGGTGATGTCCTCAGTGATGGATGACGTCGCCTCGGAGGATGGCCGCCAAGTCATTTCTGTGCAAATCCTCATTCCTGTAAACAGAGCAGAAGAGGGGGGCGGTTTGCACTGCGTCGCAGACACTCATGTGCAAATGCTTTATGGCGGACGGCCATGTAGTGGAAAAGACCAAGTCAGCAGTGGTGGCCCTGACGGCCAACAGAGGGCTGAGGCATCTGTAAGCTCCCAAGGATGGACTCGCGGCCGTGAGGTGGGTCGGCGCATGCGTGGTAGTCTTCCTCCCGCACTGCCTACCTGGAGACAGTCCAGCAGGATGCGAGGAGCAGCCTGGGTGGCCTCCCATGTGGAGCCCCAGGCATCATCTCCTGACACTGGTGACTGTGGACAGAAGTCAAGGGAAGGGCCACGGCTAGAGCGTCCTGCTGGGCAGACCAGAGCCTGGCAGTGGCTGGCTCAGGGAGGCCACGCTGACTGTGAGGTGACACTAAGGCATCGCCATAGGATACCTCCAGCGACGGTGCTAGAATGGTAAGTATGCTGCCCCCTCAGAGGGCTTGCATACAGGCCGGCGGCCACGGGCATGAGCCAAGACTCCTGTGAGGAATAGGACCCAAAAGCAGAGACCAAGTTGTCACGAGTGGAGATGGCCTCTGAATGTTCAAGAACTCTCGAGGTTCAAAGGAAGAAGACGTCCGAAGTCACACGCAACCGAGCAGCTGTCGCCTGGCCTCTGATGAATGGCTTTGGGAAGGAAGAGAGGCGAGAGAGAGATCGAAGGAGGTGGCAGAGGTTTGATATGGTGGCTTTGTCCCCACTGGTGTGTGTCTCTATTTTTGAGACAGTCCAGAGTCAATGTCCTCAGCTGCCATCTCCCACTTAAAGCTGGTCCTTTCTCCAAGCCGGGCCTCTTGTGGGGACTCTCCCAGCAAGGGCGTGTGAGGGGGTCGTTCTGTCTGTGGCTGTCGTCTGTGGATGGGGTGCATTGGCCTTTGAGAACCGACCCTGACGCCGGCTCCCTGTGGAGATGGCTGTGCATGTGATACGGTTTCTAATGCGCATGATGTCTGCAGAAGAGTCGGGTTGTTAGTGATATGTTTTTCAGAGTCGTGGTCAATGGAGTGTTTAAAAAGCCTTGAAAATCCTGCTAACTCTTTCCTGGCACTTGTCTTACAGTGGATGGTTCCTAACAACTTTGATACGTTCTTAAACGGTTCCTGTCGAGACTTTAAAAACACCAGTCTCCCTCCTTTCTGCATCTGATGCACTCGGCTCCTTTGGGAACAAAATATGAAATCTGTTTCCATAACAGTTTTTCCTCTGCAAGGGTGTCTGTTTGTTATTGTTGGGCTGTTGAGGTAGATTTGAATTTTTATAACAGTACCACATGTGTGTTTTAGAGAAAAGCCTGTCAAAGAATGACTAGGAAATGGGACAGAGTCACAGTGTCAAGAACACGGTTACACGTGGGGCAAGCAGTGGCCCTGGGTGCATGTGTTCTGTGAACCTGTGGTGCTGTGCACACTCGTTCTGTGAGCGGTGGGTCTTGGGACACCTGGTTCGGGAAGCTGTGGTGCTGTGCACACACTTGCGGGAGGCAGCCGTGTGCTGATCTGGCCCTGAACGCCTCTCTGAACTGTCTCTTCCAGGGTCCTGGGACCAGCGGTGACTTTCAGAGTGAGTCCCAACACCCACAACTTGACAACTGCAGGCGTGGTGAAGGCAGCAGGTAAGGCATTCTGGCACAGCTACATGCGTGCACACGCACACACATGCACACATGCACACACACGCACACACATACACACAGCCAAGGCGGACAGGGGGCAGAAAGGACAGTCCCCCCAGTACCCCAGTATTGTTGGGGAAACAGTGAAGCAGCAGTGGGGTCAGTTAACATGACCAGGCTTTGCCATCACTGTGAAACGTGGCCGGGCTTCAGGCAGACATTGGCCACACCGCTCTCTCTGAGGTCAAAAGGCTGGCGTGTGGGCGGCAGTGACCGGTGTCTGTGGTGACCTGTGTGGATGGAACAAATGCGGGTTCCTGTCTGGGCGACAAGTTTGGGCTTCACGTCCGTCCAGCACAGGACGGAGGCCTCAGGAGGGACACATGACTTGCTCATAGCTTCGCGTTCGCTGCCCAGCTGCCAATCAGCCAACTAACACACTGGGGACCTACTGAGTGACCCCAGGTTCGTGACTGGCATTTGTCACTTAGTTAAAACACAAAGCCCAACCCACTGGGGTCTCAGCGAGAGGATGTGCTCGAGACAGTTTGCGTCGTCCTCGGGCTCAAACCTCTGGCTTTGCTGACTGAAGGCTTCTGTAAAGGGTTCTGTGCCATCTTTCTGCCTCGTGGGGAAGTGCGGGGACGTCACAGAACTGGTTTGCTGACTCGCTGTGCTTTGGCACGATGCAGCCACGAGGCTCTTTTCTCAGCAAGTCGTCCTTTGCAGACGTGGCTGGATGTGCGCTGACCCGACAGCAGAGATGACGCTTTGTTTTAGCCACTGCTGTTCTTGCTGAATATATGAACGGTTTTTAATGAAATTTACATCTCTTTTTCAAATGTAAAATGCAGCGAAATATTTTGGTTGGTTTACAGATTGGGACATTTAGTTCTCGCTAGCTGAGATGTCACTTATTATCACCCTGTGAGCCTTGTTTCTTTATCCACTGCTGGTAAACAGGTGAAAAAGCAGCTGCTGCGTCCCATTCATGGGGAAGCGCTTGTCTCTGTTTTGTTGCTGTTGGATTTTACTGGTAGAGTTCCTCGGTGCCCTCACTTACCTTTGTGTGCTGAACGCAGTGATCTGGGGCCAAGTGTTTTTGGTTAAAGAATTCATTGCAAGGCTGCTACACCCCGGAAAGCTTGCAGATCTAAGTTCTGTGGACAGCGTGTTCCCCCCACCCCCCTCCCCGCCAGGCCTCATTTCACTATCGCGTTTCATCATGAGATGGAGCTCGGCCATCCTGGGAACAGAAACCAGCTCCTGGCACCCTGGACGCTGCCCTAGGACGCGTGCGTTCTGTGTTAATAGCTCAACCCCTCCTGCCCACAGGCCCCGTCCTCCCCTCACCGTATCCATGCACAGCCCTGGGTCCCCCACATAAGTGAGCCGTGACGACTGAACCCCAGACCAGCTGTCAGTGTTTGTACAGACACACACTCACCGTTGTCCAGTGGCCGTTCACGCAGTGCCTGGACTGGAGTGGAACTTTCAGAGCTGGATTTGCCGGGACTCAGGTGCTGTGGATGGACGAACATGGAAGGGCTTCTCCTTATCCCTTTTTAATTGTGATGCTACACTCACTGACAGTGGCCTTTTGTGAATTTCATTGCTTTCCGGGGGAAATGAGGCCATTACTTGAACTCTCGTTTCTTGGTCATTGTAGCTCGCACTGAAGCGCTGCTCCTAGGGAGACGCTGCATGTAAGGTGTGTGTTTGGGTGACACGCCAGCGACGTTCCAGGTCCCGGAATTCTCTAACCCGCACAAGCGCATCCATGTTAACCGTAACCTCTGCGGGACAGCGCGTTTCCTGCTTGTTATAGGAGGGAAACATTGGTAACACACATATGCAGTTAAAAACTAGTTCTTTTTGTATTTTGAATAATTTTATGATGTTATGAATGGCCTGATGCTGTAGAAGAAAAGGGTTATGAAAAGTAGGTTTGTCATCAGGACTTTGTTTTTGGGCAGTGGAAATCCCCCTGGGCGTGATACCTGGCCCACATCTGCCTGGTGACAGTGTCTGGTGTCACAAAGAGAGGTGACCTCGCTGAGCACAGTGTCCACGTGAGAGGTCGACTTACGTGCTGATGAGGGAGAATTTTGAAACCCAAAGCAGTCCTTTTGTGGCTTCTCACTTTAAAAGATGATGTGGATCTTACTGTATTCTTGCCTTCTCGCTGATGTCCCCGTGGGGCAGACCCAGCTCCCACCGGCCAGGGGGTGTGGCCTGTGCGTGTCACCGGCACACACGTGACTGAGCGTCCTGTTGAAATGCTGCCAGTGTCGTGTATGGCCTGCCAACCTGTGACTGTACACTTGGTTCCCTCAGGGGCCTGATGACACTGCCATGGACATCTCTGTTGTCATCAATGGAGGCAGACACAGCCCTCTTGATGGAATGGGGGCTTTGCTTTGGCTAATTTCATACAAACTGATACAAAACATAACAAACAGGCACACGGTTATACCGCGTGGCTCCCCCAAACACCCCGGGGTGCGCTCGGTGACGGGGCGGCTGCTCTCCATTCTTCAGACTCCTTGTCCCACCAGGTGACTTTTCTGGGGACTCTGCCTCATTCGTGAACCTGGGCATGGACGTGAAGAGGAAGTGGGCATTGCACATGGAGGCGTTTGCTGTGTTGCCAAGTGCACAGAAGTAACTGGTAGTTACCCTTCATCTTTGCCGTCACGTCACCCAGTCACACTGGGCAGGACAGAAAACCCCTTTTTTTCTCTTCACTTCCTTGGTAGTTTGTTCTGAGCAGTGTATTTCTGACCAATCTTTGCATTTCTCCTTCCTGAGAAGGTGGTTAATCATCCTTTAGCTGTGTGAATGGGGCATGGCGTAGCATAATGCGATGAGGCACAATAAGTAAATGTTACGTAATGCTACGTGGCATATGTGCATTGTATGCTGTGATATGTAACATGAGGTAAATATCACATAACATATAAGTGTTATTATATGACATGTAATAAATACAAGGTAGCATAGCATAACACAATGTGATACAGTGTGATGCCATGTAACAGTACAGTGCAGTGGAGTGTACTGTGTTATACTGTAGAATATAATACAATTAGTATAACGCACATCGGGGAATGTCAAATGCCCTAAAGAGGGACCAGGCTGGCATGGGAGCTGAACAGGGCGGGTCGGAGGAAGTGTCACTGGACGGGTGGTTGGACAAGGCCCCAGGGTGGCCTTGGAGGAATCCCACTGGGCCTGAGGGAGCAGCCGCGTGGACCTGGGAGGAATGAGGAGATGGAGTGTGTGCTTGGCATGTTCTGACACCGGGAGGCCCGTGTGACCGGAGCCCGGTGCGTGTGTGGGGCAGGTGACTGGGGCCTGGCCCCGTGTGGCTGGTCGGGACGTGTCCCCTTTCCCTTGGGGAGCAAGGAGCCTTGGAAGCTCTGAGCAGGAGGGCGTGCACTGCAGGGCACCTCTGGCTGCTGCACGGAGAGCGCACTGTGGGCCCAGCGTGGGTGGGATGTGGACGAGGATGGTGCTTCAGAATGCTGCCCATGCAGGAGGAGGGTCTCACCCTGTGGGACGGACCCCGCCCTCCCCCGTCTTGCAGCCAGGGACCACTCAGCCGCTGGGATTGGAGGTGGGATAAGAGCTGGAGCAGGTTGGCAAGGAGGGAGGGCCGGGCTGCCTGAGAGCACGCCGATGGCTGCAGCTCAAGATTTGACGGGTGATGGAGAAAGGTGGGGCACTGCACCCCACTGCTGCTTTCTAAACAGCCAGGTAATTACTGCTGGCATTTTGACAAGTGTTTGCTGGAGTAGAGGTCAGCGTTGTCAGCGTGGAAGATCTAAGCGCCTTGCCCAGCTGCAGGAGACTCTGGTAGCCGTGGTTTTGTAATTAGAGTTGAAGGTGCCAGATTTCTTCCTGGCTCCACCTGGCACGTAAGTGAGTGAGTGCTATGAGGTGACTGCTTGTCGCGGTCTGCAGGGTTACCCGGGTGGAAACACAGCTGGCATCCAGGGCAAGGGTAGGATAGCGGGTAGACAACATGCTAGGACACATCATTCCATATCCACTGATCTGCGCTCATTGTCACACAAAGGCGGCCAACGGATTAAAAATATCGTTACGGAGGAACACGTTCTTACTTGCAAATGAGCACGTGGCTGGGGCCCCATCTGCAGCGGCGGCACGTGCCCGCGTCTGAGTCCTGCTGCATGATTGTGCCCAGAGCGAGGAGAGCAAGGGGTCCCCGGGGCCCACGATCTGCGTGGCCTCAGGCTCGCCCCCGCCGTCCACTGTGCACGTGGTCGGCTGCCAGCGTGCGATGTGCAAGAACCAGACCAGAGCACCCCTAGTCGGCCAGGATCTGGGGGTGTGGGTGACTATCCATAGACATACACTGAGACCCCTCAGCCTATGAAAGGAGAGAGCAGGCCCAATGCTCTGCAGCATCACAGCGGGGCCCAGCGCATTCGTGGCAGGACCAGCCGGAAAGCTCAGTGCTCTGTGCTCCCGGGACCCCGACTGGTCCCTCCTGGCACACACCACTGTGCTGTGGCTGTTAGGTCCACTCTGCGTCCTTCCCCCAGCTCTCCCGGGCTCCTGCCTGACAGGAACCCAGATCCCTGCCTGGCCACCTGCTGCTTCTAGATGGGCGGACCGCCGTGCTTGGCAGGTGAGCCCCCTTCTGCCCTGACAGGCTGCACATGCTCTCAGCTGGATTGTGATCTGTGTGCCTTCTCACCTGCCCTGCAGGTAAAGCCCTCCCGTGTTATTCATTCTCGCACCACGCTGCCTGACACACTAAATAAATCATGCCAAGCTAGTCAGTGGTCTTCACGGCTTTTGTGAAAAGTTGTCCAGGCCCAGCAAGCAGGCTCTGCGGGGGCCACCAGGGTCCCTTGTGGGACCCAGCACGTGGACGTCGTCATTCGACCCCTCATGTGGCCCCTGGTACAGGGTGAAGTGGGACGGACACGGGAGTCAGGGGGGACGCCGACTCCAGGCCTGGGCTGTGG